TAAGCATCAACAGCTTTGAAACATTTGAAAACTACCACCAGGCTTGAACTATGTTGAAGCTAACTCAAGTCGTTCTGATACGTTGAGAAACGGGATTTGATGATTGGGCAGAGTGGAATTCTTGCCTGAATCTTTCATGCCTGAATCTTTCAAACATTTAATCTGCTCTAGGATTCGTGTCTCCACAGTAGCATGTCGAATGGCTCTCCATGACATGCCAAGCCCCCACCTCGTCGATCAGGAAAATTGCCTAGCGCGGGAAATGAAAAGCCAAACGGGGGATACATACCGGGTTTCGAGGAGATTTCCTTCCCGTTCTTATTGATTGCAACTTTTAAGAATAAAAAATACTGTGTATATACGTATATATATATATATATTATAGCAAGAGACAAAAACATCAGCGATGGCACCCCCTACATGCAACGAAATTAAATGCGCCGCTTTCATGCTATATATGGGAATCGGTCTAGGTGAAAAGCAATCGTGCAAGACATGACAGGAAAACCAATGGCAAATGCTGCTCAAAACAATGAACATCATTTCCAAACATCTGAAGGCATGTTTTTTTTCTTGTACGACTGAAATTAGTTCTTTTCGTCAAAACTAAAGTACGCGCTGGCGCTGCTTTCCCCATATCTTATGTTCATTAAGCCTTCGTACTGTATGTTTTTTTTGGTCAAATGTCAAAGTTCCCGTTTCGATTCTTTTACATGTTTCAAGTCTGCCTGCCGTCCCATAGTTGCAATTATAGGCAATGGAATCCGGCAATGCCAAATAAATACCTGAGAAGAGGGGACGAAAGCCAGGGTCAAGTTTGAACGGGGACAGGAGAGTGGAGAGCATGGGAGGGATTGCGGCGGGGGGTTGGTGGGGGCATCGGGGGAGGGGCGGAGGGGCCGGCATGGTGAGGCTGTGTTGGGTGTGGGCGTGGGGGGCCCTTGGAGAGAAGGAAGGAATGTGTAGGAAGAAGGAGCGGAGGGAAGAAGTGTGGGAAAGGTAGGGAAGGGTGAAGAGAGGGTAGGAAGTGGAACGGGGGGCTCGTTTAAAGAGCTGACGGGGCGCAAAGGAGCCCGGAAGGGGAGAGGAGGTGTCGGCGGCAGGGAAGGCAAGGAAGAAGGGGAAGCGGGCGCCTGTGGAGAAAGAAGCTTCGTGGTGTGTTTGAGAAATGAAGGCGGGTGGGTGCTCAGCACTCGACACTTTAGAGTGTAAAGTGTACACTTTACACTTCACAGTCCACAGTCGACACTTTACACACTAGACTTTACACTCTACACTTTACACTACACACCGCACACTCTACGCTTGACACACGACACTGTACACTGTACACTCTTCACTCTACACTCCATACTTTAGACGTTACACTTTACACTCCTCACTCCTCACTGCACACTTGACACGCCATACTCCACACTTTACACTCCACACTCTACACTTGACACGCTACACTTGACACTCTATACTCTGCACTCTACACTCTACACTTGCCACTGTACATCCTTCACTTCACACTCTGCCCTCTACACTTTACACTCTACACTTTACACTTTACACCCCACACTCCACAGTCCACACTGTACACTTTACACACTACACTGTGCACTCTACACTTTACACTCCACACTCTACATTCTACACTGTACACACTACACTGTACACTCGACACTCGTCACGCTACACTCCATACCTTACACTTTACACTTTACATTCCTCTCCTACCATCAGGCATCGGCACCCATCTGAAACTTTCACCCTGCGGGCTCCTTTGCTTCCCAGCAGCTACCTAAAAGAGCCTCACTCCACATTCTCTGCTCTGACTTCATCATTCCGACAAGCAACTTCACCTTGCCTGGCCTGCAGCAACCATTCCAACCATATGCACCCCCGGCCACACACACCTCCCCTCTCTGACCGCCAGGCATAATTTACTCCCATGCCTCCCCGTCACCTCGCATAACCAACTGTAACTTCCCTCCCATACAGAGACAAACACAGACACAGACAGACATAGACACAGCAAAACGTTCCACACTCCACACGCCACACCTCACACTCTACACTTTGCACTTTACACGTTACAGTCTGAACTCCACACTCCACACTTTACATGCCACACTCGACACTTTCCACGCTACACTTTACACTCGACACTTTACACTCCACACTCCAGACTCTACACTCTACACACTACACTTTATACTCTACACGTTACACTCCAGACTTCACACTCTACACTTTACACACTACACTTTACACTCTACACTCTACACAACACTTTCCACTCCACACTCCCCCCTCTACACTTGACACTTGACATTTCCGTCCTTTTCGTCAGGTGTCTCCTACCTTTTTCCTGCTCTTCCTCCACTGTTCTCCGTTTTCCGGCTCCGTAACCGCCCGTAACCTCCCGTAACCTCCTATGACCTCCCGTGACCTCCCGTGACAAAACGTTGCACACTCCACACTCCACACCTCACACTCTACACTTTACACTTTACACGTTACACTCTAAACTCCGCACTCCACACTTTACACGCCACCTTCCCCACTTTACACTCGACACTCTACCCTCTACACTTTACACACCACACTATACACCCCACACTCTACACTTTACACACTACAGGTTATACGCTACACTTGACACTCCACACTCCACACTCTACACTTTACACACTACACTTTACACTCTACGCTCTTCACTCTACGCTCCATACTTTACACTTTACACTCCTCATTCCTCACTGCACACCTTACACTCCACACTCCACACTCCACACTTTACACTCCACACTTTACACTCCACGCTCTACACTTTACACTCTACACTCTACACTTTACACTCCAGACTCCACACTCCACACTTTACACACTAGACTTTACACTCTACGCTTTACACTCCACACCGCACACTCTACACTTTACACTCTTCACTCTACACGCCATACTTTATACGTTACACGTTACACTCCTCACTCCTTGCTGCACATTTTACACTCCACACTCCATACTTTACACTCCACACTCCACACTTCACACTCTACACTTTACACTCTACACTCTACACTCCACACTTTACACTTTACACTTTACACTCCATACTCATAGTGTACACTCCACACTCCACACTCTACACTTTACGCTCCACACTCTACACTCTACGCTTTACACACTACACTTTACACTCTACACTTACACTCCACACTCTACACTTTAAACTCTACACTTGACACTCTACACTCCCACACCTTACACCCTTCACCCTGCGGGCTCCTTTGCTTCCCAGCAGCTACCTAAAAGAGCCTCACTCCACATTGCCTGCCCACGCCCCAAAGAGCCCGCCCAAGCCACGCTCTTGTCCCTCCAACCTTCCCCCCATCGTACACCCCGCCCCGAAACTCCAATCCGTCCCCTTTATTTTATCCTTCCATTCCCTCTCTTTTTCCATTACTCTTTCCAAGTTTTTCCATTGTTCTGTTATGCTTTGACTCGATTTTTGCATCCTTTTACCCTCCATTCCACTCACCCCAAATGCACGTCGGAGGACGGACCAGGGGGAAATCGAACCCCACCGTCACCCAATTGCCACCTGGTACATCAGCCTCAAAATCGACCACCATGGCCACCCTAATTAGGTGGGGAAGTGCCTCAAAATGGTCTGTTTGGAGACGACCACCCCCCAGACCCCCTATTCTCACTTCGTTCGCAATGAGCAACTTCGCCATGCTTGACAGCTGGCTTTTCGTAATATATATATATATACCCTGAACGTCGGATGACTCATTTTCCCCACCTTTTTCGTCATGACTAATTTACCCCCAGGATGACTAATTAGGTTCCTCCAAGATGACCATTCACTCTATGCTGTGCTGAAGGCCTCTGATTTGATGGCTCCAGCTGCTAGTTACTTGGTCAACCTCAGTAATTATATTATATAAAATGGATACACCAACACCAGTGGTGGGACAATACTACTTTCTTGTTCAATTTAATGACCAAAAACGGTTGCTGACATCGGATGTTCGTCCCAATTTTACTGCCATGCCTGCGGTATGAAGAAAGCATTGCAAGCCCGTCAGGCCCTCAAACTATGTGGGTATGTGTCAAAGCGGGGGAGCAAACGCCACCCAAAAAACATGTTTAGTGGGAAACCATTTCCTTTGGGGGTTCTGATCTCTTTGACACATACCTGTGTGTTTTTGGTTTTCCCAAATCTGGGGTTCCTAGCTAGCCTTCCGGCAAGGTCTAAATTCTTTAGCTCTTGACCAAGTCAAAGGCCGCCTCTCCAGCATGTTTCCCTGCTCAGCACTTTTTTCTTTGAGTTCACTTTCTGATACCAGCTCTAACTCTAACGGTGCAGCAGCATTTGGTGATCAATGCATAGCCCATGTCCTGGCGCGATGCCAAAGAGAGTTCAAAATCCCGAGATGATAACAATGCTGAAGGACAGGGTGTGCGATAGCCCCATTTCAAAAAATGCATTTATATATAAATCTAAACCTGTATGTGCTTGTGTGGCGCTAGGACTTCTACAGTGACATGCTGGATGAGCCCAGCTTCCTGGAAAACCGTTGGCTAGATCTGGGGAAAAAACAAGGTGTCCCCGAATCAAAGGTGAAATCCTACATGCGCAAGTCTAAGGCGGGGCTTCAAGACTTGGCCGACTTGAAAACATGTTCCCTACTAGTGCTGTTTGGCAGGTTCCTCCAGTGACCTTTTCGTTTGTCGACATGGATGGTCCAATGTCACAGGAGCAGGCATCATTTTTTGCGTATACAGGATGAAACAAATTCAGGGGGTGATTCTGACCATTCCTCCCAATACTTCTTTTAGTCTTTGCAGGTGAAAAAAAATGGCAACTTTATCATGAAGTACTTGGCAGTTTTTGGACTCAACTTCCCGACAAAGCTTGAAGCGCAGGCAGCGATGTTATTTCCAGTAAGTGCACCCTGCTACAGAAAGAAAAATATTGGTCTGATTTAGTCTGACAGGATGCTATGGAGGACATGGCCGTCAAGTACAAGCTTCATGATGGCGATGGAGTAGAACTGCAGGCCCGAGCCCACATGTAAGAATCTAATTGTTGATCCAAAACTCCTCTAGGTTAATTCTACTCAAGTTCATGTTTGCCAGGATTGGGCGAAGACTGAAGGAAGCTTACACCGACTCCTTGCCCGATGGGTCATGGACACGCAGCGCAAGACAAACAACACAGAGAGTAGGCAGGGATGGCAGTTTCAATCCCAAGTCCCCATTGATTATTATTTCGTGGTTGGGAGGTGCCCCGTCATGAAAGAACTCAAGGAGATGGCCCAGCTTCTGCGTTCACAAGGAGTGACAAAGTGGTTTCTTCAAATTTTTCCAAGTCTTCCTATTTCTGGCAGTTTGCCAGGATCAGAGACTACAGCCGATGAGCGTGAGGACTCAGGACCAGAGACTGAGGAAGTTTGCGTGCACAAATCCAAACCTGCAGTCGATAAGGAAACAGCAGACTCAGACAAACCAATTCAGCTTGAACCAGTCGTTTCCTCAGAAGGGAAGAAAAACGAGGCAAAGGAAAACGAGGCAAAGGAAGCAACAGCTGCCACATGTTCAGGCATGTCAGAAACTGAGAAAGAGCGGGTGGACCAGCAAGTCGAAGATTTGCTGAAGCCGTACATCCTGCCTGATAGCCCCCCCATGCCGCAATGGCTGATCAACATCTTGGCGCAAAAGGCATTGCAGGATGCCATTGACAGCTTTGCCAAGTACAAGGAAAAGGATAAGTCAGCTGGGTCAGCCAGTGGTGAACTTCCAGCATCACTTGCTTTTCAGGACGCTCATGCGCACATCTGATTTGTCTTTCATCATCCTTTGTTTCTCAATTTCTCAACATCCAATTTGCACATGTCAATGTTTTTGCAGCCAGGACGAGAAAGCCCTTGCTCCTTTGCCAGAGGTCCCACAAACAGTGGAGGCTCAGGCTAAGGCGGCAGAGGACAAAATTCGTGCTGATGAGGTGGACGCTGGGGAGCCATCACTTCTGGATGCCGGGGTCTTGGTGAAAAAATGTCACACATTCAAGTTGCAATTCAAGTAGCCAAATGCCGTTTTGAACTCATTTCCAAAAAAAAAGATGGTTTCCTTGGGTTCCCACATGCGAGGCCCAAAGAAAGTTGAAGAAGGCTGGACAGGCAAATGCAGGTGAAGAAGATGAACCTCCTACCAGGGGAAGAGGGCGAGGAAAGGGTCGAGGACGAGGACGAGGGAAAAAAGCAGAAGGTGATGCGAAAGGTTCTGATGGAAAGGGTGATGACGACACGGAGGCAGGACAGGGTAATGAGGAAGGAGGGAACGAGGTAGAAGACAAGGTGGGTGAAGGTTGCAATGAGGCTCCAGGTGATGCCATGGATGGTCCTTCTGATGAGGGTTCAGGTGATGACGAGGATGAGAAAAACGAATTCCTACGGGAATTGGATGAGGAGTCAGATAAGTTGAGTCAGGAGGCGGAGTTGGAGGAAGAGGAATCCAAACCGAAAAAGAAAAGGAAGCTTGTTGCAAAGTGCTGGGACCCCAAGTATCAGAAAAAGAGCAAAGCGGTGCAGGCAGGACACAGTTGGCCTGTTTGCCCCACATTAAAAATGAATAGTAGAAATTTCAATCTTTTGCCAGGACCCTGATCTGCCAATCCTGGTGGACTCTAAGCCGGTTGTGGTGCCAGAAGCTGAAAAGATGACGGCCAACCGAATCAAGCTTGAGGTCAGCTCAGGTTCACAGTCCTTGTTTCACTCGCGCTTGCAGCCTTTGTCTGCCAGGAGCAGCGCGCTGCTCGGCTGTCGGTCCTGCAGAAGGTGGCAGCGCTGGACAGGCGTTTTGTGATTCCAGCCGATTGCAAGGGAGTGTCTGGACCTCAAACCAACACGATTCAAAAGTTGAAGCTTGATGTCAATTGTTAAAAGTTCATGTTTCCTAGGTCGTGGACACTTCACCCACCTCCCAATGTAACGGCAATGTGCCCAAATGCGTGTGGCATTGGTGTGAGGTTACTTGGCCGAAACAGATTGCCAATCTTAATCAACCTTATCATGTTGTTTCACAACTTGACCCCTTCAAATCTTATTAATCTGAGGCTCAACGGTCAGTTCTATGTGCATGGGCCGGTGCCGAAGACTTCCCCGAGCAAGGTCTATTCAGATCTTGGATTGCAATCAAAGAGCCAGATGGGGGCCAACAAATTCTCTTGAGTATTACTATTTTCTTGCCACACCGTGGCAGGTGAACGCAAGAGGAGGTGTTTCCCTATGCTGGGGAGGCGTTTCGGATGATGAGAACAAAGTGTTGTCGTGGCACGGTTCCCAGCATGATTTCTCAGACATTTCTGCTCACAAATCCTGCACATTCCCAAATGGGCATCACCAATATTCCTGTTATAAACTATCTCAGAAAATTGTGGGTTTTTCATCCCAGGTGGAAATGTGCCATGCGCCTGGCCTTGTGGACTGAGTGATGGGATTTTTCGATTGTAGGGCAATCTCATGCCAGCATCAGCCTTAGAGCTTCGCAACGTGGCTGCCTGACATCCGTGTCATGATTTGCCGGGGCTATACCCATTAAATTTATTTTTTGACCTGCTTCGAATGCATGGCTGATGGCATGATACTTTTGGTCGCTAGGTCTGTGAAACTGACCAGATCGATCCAGATCGACGACAGGGGACAAAACATTTTTTGATTTGCAGTCACTAGTGCTTGATGACTGTTGCACAGCATGCACCATGGCCACAAAACAGACAAATCACCTGCCGACATTTTTTGCCAGCATGCTTTTGGCGTTAATACCCGCGAAATAGTGTTGGGGCGACATGATGGAGGTTGACCCAAAAAAGAGGCATCAAAGCCATGGCGCCCTTGGTCTCAGCCAAACGGGCTGGGCATTGTTGGTTCTGATGGGCTTTCCCGTCATAATGTCTGAAGCCAAGTGTCTCCAAAATGATATGTCGACGTCATAACTCATAACCAACATCCAGTTGCAAAGATCCGCATCCTGTCGCGGTCTCAGGCTGCAGCTGGTGGACTACATAGATCAGCAACTACCATTTGCACAGAGAGCCTGGGCCTCAATGTTTTGAAATTTGGTGGAAAGAAAAACACATGTCCCCTGATTCTGCCAGAACTACAAGCATGTGGACCTCTTCTCTGGCCGAAGACACATGCAAGCAGCCTTTTGCCCGAAACCCGGATTCATATGAGCAGATTCCACATATGAGTTGAACAGAATTATTTGAGTGCGAGGCATTCCTGGAATTATACGGTCTAGTCAGTCTTTGGGCAAGCCCCCCGCCCAATCAGGTCGTGAAGGCCTTCGCTCGTGAGGAGCTCAATGAATTGCGGCACGCTGAACAGCTGAAACAATCACACCCGATGTCGCCAAGCCATCTCTGTCCTCAGTCACAACATCGATATCGACTACCGTCCTGAAAGGGACAACATCAACACAATGACGTGCCCTCAGAGCTGTTGGTTCCTTGAAAAACCTGACCTCGACCAATTTTGGATGCTGAGGCAAGGCTTGATTTGCGCTACGCTGGCCATATTGAAGTTGGAGAGCGGGGCTCTTTTGACCGCTGGATTACCATGCAAGAGTTTCATATTCTTAAATCAGGGAACAGCGCAAAGAAGTGAAGCTACACCGATGGGCAATGAGTCCCTGCCCTATATAATAGCTGCAAATTTGTGCCCGTGACTTCATAGACATTGTTTTTGTTGCTGGGGCATCAGTTGGGGGGAATCCATGCCGACAAACCAGGTCATATCCCGACAAACCAAAACATGCTACTTTTGATTTCTTCAAAGTAAGCCCCAGAGACTGGTTTATGCCCAAAAACCACTTAGGTGCAGTTGTCGCACGATCCTCCTGTTGATGCTATGCGTGGCACGAAATTGCTATTACTTTGTGGAACAACCGGGCTCATCTCGGTTCACAATGTTCCCCTATTATGTGCACCTCCGAAAGATGATGGCCCGCATGGGAATGGATGCTACTTCCTAGCCCCACCTCTGCAACCTTACTCAGGCCGAGAAGCCGCTGGATTGGCGGCACGCAAACTTAGATGAAATCTACAACTTCCTGCAGGAAGAAGTGGTTACGGGCAGGTTTTGCCCACTTTTCCCTTTTCCGGAGAGACCTGTATAGGAAAAAGGTTTCAATCCAACAGTTTAGAATTTGAAATGTGATACTCATCACATGTGTGCGCTTGATTTCCAGAGACCGCAGCTGAAAAATGTATAAAAATGTGACCGTCACCGACCGTCAAAGTACCGTCAACAAGCGTCAAAATAGGGGTAAATGACGTCATTTACCGTCAAAACACCGTCAAAACACCGTCAAAATGGATTGCCTTGTTTTAGACATTTTCCTGTAGCATTTTCTGGATTTCAAGGTGTGCTCCAACATGGCGCCATCAGCTGCTGAACTGTTTAAACAGGCCGCAGAAAAGCGTGCCCGCTTGGCCGGTGCCCAAAAAGGTGGTCTAAAGAAGAGGAAATCAGAGAAACCGTCACAAGCTGATGACACCCCAACGGACTTGCAACATGCCAAGACTCTGCGCTTGGATGAATGCTCAGACCGGCCAGGACCTCAATGAGCATGTCCGGTTCAATCCATAAAAAAATGTTTAGAAAGGTGGCCGGAGGAAAAGGTTATACCAAATTCAGTGGTAATCAAGAATTCAATTGGATACTTCGAAAGAATATTCGTTTATCCTATAATCAGGTCAACCAGTGGGTCATCTCCGCGGATGGTCTCCGTGGACAGCCCGGTGCCCATTTCCTAAAATTCATGTCCGTATATGTCCGTTTCATGTGCGTTGGATTCAAGTTCCGGGAGTCCAAGGCCAAGAAACCCTTCCTTCAGAGGACATGAGCGTTTTGGCAACTCCGTCACCAAGAGTTTCAGCGCCATCCCCAAAAAATGAAGACAGAAAGTCTGAGACTGAGGACACCCAGCCAGACCAAGGCAACTGGGAAACACAGGAGGAATGGGGGTGGGGCAAAGGTTGGGAATACTGGTGTTGGAAAAGTCTGCGCAGCTGGAAGTGGCTGGAGGATGGGTCTTGGACTTGGACCTCGGGGGATGAAGCACCAGAAAAAACTGATGGAGAGAGAGTACATGAAGCCTTGCACACACTGAACACAGTTGACCGCCTTGACACCAAAGATTTGCACAAAGTAGCGGAACAAATTGAGAAAGACAATGCCAAGTTTCCAGTGAAGCCGGCTCCCTTTGAAGCAGCAGTCCCAGTCCCAACAGAAGATCCAGGAACAGGTCCAGGAACAGAAGGCAATGCCCCGCAGGGTGAAAGCAGCCAGAAAGTTGAGGATCAGGACGGTGAGGAAGCAAAGAAGGCGGAGAAAGAAAGGATTAAGAAAGATCAGAATGCCCGCTACAATCGTTTCAAAAGAACCCTGGATAGTCAGAACCCAAGATAAAATATTTTTAAATTTCCCTGTTCCCACCAGAAATGGTTACGTTTAGTGGGGCAGCAAATCTGAGGTTGCAACACTCCACCGGAAATTCGACGGCTTGGGGCCCATGCAAAGAACAGCCCAGGCCCACAGATCAAGACTGTGAATTTTGCTGACTCATTTCAAAAAATGAGAACCTATATTTTCCGCAGGACAGAAGAAGATGCAGGCTCTCTACGAGGCTTACCTCTCAGCAGGAGAGAACTGGCAGAAATCAAAGCTTCTGATGTCCATCAAGACCAGGAAGTCGAATTCGTCCATTGGACTCCGAAGGTGGTGTACTTTTACGAAAATGGTTGAAACTTTTGGAAAGGATGTCGCAGAGGAAATGCGGGACCGCAAGTTGAATGACCCTTCCCTGGCAGAGACTGAGACGCGAAAGCACCCTGAGTTGCCACACCGTGAGGACTGGAGATCCAGCAAACTGATCCAAGTAAATTTAAATTTAAATTGTTGATTCATAGATTTTTCACCACGCACCAAAAAAAAACATATCAAACAACCTTCCAGCTTGCAGCACCTGATGCAATTCTTATGCCACGTCGACGACACTGAAGTTTCCAAGGACAACACAGCAGTCGAAAGCGTGTTCGTTGCAGAGGACTGTGATACCAGTTCTGAGTCTGCTGCCTCCGACACCAGCAGCAGTGCCAGTGATGACGGAGAGAGTTCCAGCAATCGAAAGAACAAGAAAAAGAGTAAGAAGCACAGCAAGAAACGTAAGAGCAAGAAGTCAAAGGGCAAGAAAGACCGGAAGGAACGCAAGCAGAAGACAGAGAAGAAAACGAAGACGAAGAAAACCAAGAAAGAGACGAAGAACCCGAAAAAGGAAGAAACACCCGAGGAGAAGGAAGAAAAGGAACGTAAGAAAAAGGCAAGGCAGGAACAGGCAAAGGCTGAGAAAAGACAGTCGGCTGTGGGGGCCCCAACACCAAACCTTTTGTGTGATTTGCAGGTATCCAAAAGGCTTGGCACAAAATCATGTTTCAATTCAGGCAGTGACCAAAGCAACTGCGAAGATTTCTTCCCATTCTGACTTTGATGGGAGCAGCGTTGGGCTGCCGAGAGCTTACATAGTCTGTTTGTCTAGGTTTCAAAGATTTTGATATCAACACGGGAGATTTTCCACAGTTCCAACTGCAAACTCCCGCCAGTTTCTTTTGCCAAGTTGCCCAGGAAATCCCAGCATTTGAAGGAAGCACTGCAGAAAGATTTGGACCTGCAGATCCAAGAGATCAAAAAATCCCGGGAGCAGCTACAGCTCGCCGTTGACAGTAAGAAGGATACCAAATCTGGTCACATCTGCACATCTATTACTAGTTGTTCTTGATTCGTTCTCTTTTCCAAACGTCTTGGATTTTTACTCTTGTCGCTCCGTTCATATGTTGCTATTGGCTCCCTCAACCTTTAAATTCACTGGCAGGATTCTGCTA